CACTTTTCGTTCTCTTGTTTCTTTTGCTGTTCATGTATTGCTGCCATCAAATTTGGTAAGCTGTAGTTTGATTTGCCACCTCTCGTTTCCATCTTTTTTTTTTTTATCCCGCTTCTGACACCAATTTGTTAAGTCTCTGGTCGTTAGTTAATTTCCGTATAATTTCTTTCCGATGAAACTTTAGCGACACAACTCCTTTCTTAAATAAAACTGGTTTATTCTTTCTCAATTCAACTTAGCAATACACTTTATTTCCACGGTCACGCTATAAGTTAAACAAACGCTATAATTCACAACGAACGACTCACGCGCTCGACCCAACTGTCCGTCTCTATCTCTGTCTGCAGTTCAACTACATTTTGTTGCCGTCACTTCTTGGCGGCTTATATACAAGAATACCGCATATCTAGTAAATACTCGAGGCTTCAGGAAGGGACATGAACGTTCTAGAAGCTTATGACGTGTTACCAGGGTCACGTGACTTCCGCTGTCGTAACACTGTGTTTTAAAACTAACAGTTTCCCTGTTTTTCTGAATGTTGCTGTTCATCATTATTGTAAAATTTTTTGCACTATTCTAACGCCTTGGCATTAGACCTATGCTATATATCTATAATGTTAATTACAAATTATGAATATTTTGTGAAAATGGTACGCCAATTTTTTTATCTCATTCGCATTAAGTGTCATTACTTTTGTGTTGAAACGATTTCAAGGCAAGATGGTGGTAGCACAAGCCAGACAGCGCGCATATCATATACACACAAATGTATAGTGAAATGGGTTTTGTATTATAATACATCTGTGTTTTTGTTGTGATTTAAAAAATATAGAATAGCGTATATATATTTCAAATATTTATTTCATTTCTTCATTTTGCTTTCCATACCCGAAATAGGAAACAGTAATTGGTTAATTCGGAAAGTTCAGCATCCTCTATTACACTACAATCACTGACTTAGTTTAGGACCGGAGATAGGAGAAACATGATGACTGAATTATGAGTCGTTAGGATTTGTTTTATCTAGTTCAGTCTCATGCTACCATATTATTGCGAATTTGTAAGTATATGTAAGAGCTTCCAACTGTTAGAAATCTGTTTGAGTGACAATTGAAAAAATAAACTTTTAGCGCGCCAGAAAGTGCTAGGAGTGCGAATGCCGTTGCCTTCTGGTCTACTATTAGTATTAATGGTACTACAAAGTACAGGTACTATTACTACTACTGCTAGGTAGGGTTACCATTAACTGAGATAGTTCCAGTTTTTAGCCTAATTATTTTTTTGTCTCGATCAGGAACAGTAAAGCCTAAAGGTATTATAATGTAAGTTGTCCCAGTTTCTCTGTAGCTAGATCAGTAAATTTACTTAATTAGTAAATGTGAATTAGATAGATATATGAATTTTACTTTGAGAATTACCTGAAAAAAGAACACACGTTTTTTTTATAAACTGTTGAATAATCAACAGTTGATGTCGGTGCCAATAGCTTTTCTGTAGCAGTGACTGCCACCAGTCGGTTGAAGTAGTAAGTCAGTGGCTTTTTTGCCGTTGGCAATAGCAACGGAATTTTCTTTATTGAACTTTAAGTTGGTAGCTGTCGGAATTGAGATGTGAAGACCTAGTTTTAACTAGATAAGCCTTTTCGCTTTGAGTTTATTTTACTGATTAAGTATTATTTTATTACAAGTTACAGCTTTTACAGTAAGGAAGATTACTGTTTAGAAACAGGTAGAACGATTTGATCAGTAGTGTGATCATGATTGCAATGTTCCAAACATCGCCCTAATGTAAAAGCTGTAACTTCTAATAAAATAATACATAAACTTTTGTTTGCCTATGATATTAAAATGCAATGGAATAAACATCAGATCATTTGAAAAATAGTAAAAATGTGTTATTGTAATGTAAACTGTTTCAGAACTCAATTTTAGTATGAGGTGGGGTCTGTGGGCATACATCCCAAGAAATTTTATTTATATTGAATGAAAAAAAATGAATAAGTAATTGAGAATTTGCAAGTGTTCCCTTGTTGCATCGTCACAGTAAGTTATTAGTTATAGTTATTGAACCTTTAGTGTTGTGTCCTTAATTTTTAATTGGAAATAAAATGGGGCCGAGATTTTTAACTTTCTTCTATTTCAAATTTATATCCCTGACTGTATTACATGCCTTGTTTTTACTATTTTGATATTCATGCTCAATTGATTGAATGGATTATTTGTTTAAGTACTTCGTTAGTTAATTACCTTGCTTTGTTCTTCACAGTTACTTCGAATCATTTTAACCTCTTGTTAGATAGGTATACAAATCTAAATAATGATAGCATTATTTTATTGTTTTAAAGGATGACAAGGAATCTCAATAGGCCAAAATGTTTTCTTTAACTTAGCATTTTCTCGGAAAATATTAAATTGTTGTTTTATTAAAAAAGGTATTTGTAACAGGCAAACATAGTTAATGAGTTGTATTTTCATCGAGAAAGTCACCCTAATAAGTCTCATGGGTCAGATGAAAAACATTTTAAAAAAAACTCCCAAAACAGTTCTGTTGTGATAATGCATCAATACCACTGACAGTAGCTATCACATTGAAGAGCAACAGTTTAATGTTAAAATAGATATATTTCACAGGTTTTAATAATGTATCACCAGATTTAATGAAAATGTATTGTATTTTTTAAAATAATAAACAGAAAGTTGAAGTGATATATTTGTATTGAAAATATCTTATCTCTCCTGTACTTATTAAATTTATTGCAAAAGTGTAACAAAGCATGTATATCCCCATACATACGATAATGCTTGGGTTATCTTTCAGTTTGTTTAAAACTTTTCTGTAGCACCTTTACAAATTCACCAGTCTTTATCTTCAGACTATGGTGTATGACAAGTCATAATGATGCCTGGTGCTTTTCAATCCAACTATTTAATCTACTTAAGATATGACATAAACTGGTTTTTCAAAATAATAACATATTGTTTTCTTCCTTTTTTTCACATACTTCATATTTAGTGGCTTCAATATCACATTCAAGATTGCTGTTTCTCTGAGTATATAACCCTTAAAGTTTAAAACTCCTATACATTTTTTTAATTTACTGCCAATTTATAAACCCAAAAATTACTCTTTCATAACATTTTTGGCCAATAAAATAATGTGATTATTTTTCCTAGAATCATACATAGCCTAATACACATTACTGTATTACTGCCAAGTTTGTATTTACAATGGTGATGGTCTGTTAGTCCAAGGGCCCATTATTCTGAAGGCTAGATAGTCTGATGATGTAAGTTGTTTTTAAACAGATAAAATGTTAAATTCATTGTTTGGTTAAATTTGTGAAATTTTATGACAAAAACCAACACAGAATATGACCTAAAAGGTTGCAGTTTCTCATGAATGGATGGATAATGTTTATCATTTTCCCAATGTTATTTTCTTGTATGCATGTATAGTGTTAGCTGCAGAGCTGGTATATTTACACATCAGGATTGGATTGGGAATCTAGCTCTTCTGAGAGAATGAACATTCAAGATTCTTATTAGATAGTGCTGTGACGATTAATGTTATATCCCCGACTCATTAAACATGTTGAACGCTTCTAGTCAGTAAAATTATCTTGACACAGAGCCAGTGCAATGAACTATACACCACAATTTGGATTCAAATAATTTTGTTGTTTGTATTTAAAACAAGAGCATGCCATAAAGGGCAGCTGGTCCCCTAAACCCCTGCCAATATGTACCTATCTATTATGGACATAGGGATTTGTTTATTTATTTATTTGTGACTATCTGGCCTTCAGATTACTTTACAGTCACCTCTCCAACATTTTTATTACCCCACTTATTCCCTTCCATGTCAGTGTTTTTTCTTGAAATAAGCTAAAAAAAACAAGTTTTTTATTTTGCTTTTGATAGCCTATTGTAATACATGAAAAGCAAATTAATTTGGGCAAATGTTTTTTGAAATCTTGGGCAAATCATGGAGGGGGTTCTACGTTTTGATCTGGTCACTAAGACTGTGTTTAGAACTCGTTCTTCCTAGCATCTCAGTAGCATTAAGGGATTTGAAAGCATTACTGTCTAAGAAGCTACATGTTTGTCATAAGTCATTTTGGGAAAAAATTACCATTCATTACCTTTTCACCTTCTGTCCCAAACCCAGTTTATTACATATTTAAATTTTTCACATACAAGTTTTGAACTTACCACTTAGTTTTTTTTAATTGTATGACATAGTATGTAGGTTTATGATTATTTTTAATATCTTAAGCTGGACAAACCTCATAAAATAAAAAGGGGTTTGTAGCTGAAAATATTTACAATGAGGGTACTCAACATAGTCTTATTATTATAGATTTTGGGTTTCTGGTACATTGATTTATAACTAAGATATTGTAGTTTATTTGTTATAGTAGGCTGTATCTATTAATGGATATCCTATTTTAATTTATTTCAGTTCTGATTTCTACAGTTAGATTACAAGTTCTTAACGAAGCAAGGTACCAACCTCAATGGGGATGTCATCATACAAGAAATCTAGTCATATCAAAAAACTTAAAATTGGTAAGACAAGAAAAACCCTACTCTTACATCATTGCTGAATACAGTTAATTACTAATGTTTCAGTTACTTTCATAAATTCTTTTTGGAAGTAGACCTAGTCACTTTGCAAACAGTAGAAGTTATACTAAAGTAATATTGTATAGTTCCTTGAAACTTTCCATAAGTTTTTCAATTCATAAATGTGAGATAACATTGGAAGTTTTCTAATTATAAAAAAACTCTCTTGATAATATTTGAAGTTCAACTTTAACTCTTTTGATAAGCTTCCATATATTTTATAGTATGCCATAAATCTTTGTGAGGCTGGGAGTTACATAGCAGTTTTCCAAGCTTTTAAACAAAAATGTAGTTTATTCTTTGAGAGAAATAAAGTATAAAAAGAAAGCTCCCCATCTTTAAAAAACAACAACAACTAGTTATTAATGTTTTTTTTTTCTTCAAACTTCTTGATTTTATGTAAGTAGTTAAATTCCAATATATATTTTGTAAGCCAGTGTGGTTATCAATGATATTTCAGTTGACAATATGCGAGAGTATGGGTGGAAATGAGAATACATATGTAACACAGAGACTAATTATGGATTTTTAGTTGGTTGTTAATTACTGTACAGAAAGTAATGTTCTATTACTGTGTAAGGGGAGGGGGTAGAGAGGTCAGTGACCAAAAGTATTATTCAAGTAGTATTTCACTGACGTATATAAAAAAAACAATAGGAATGTGAGACTTCATTTTCAGGCCAATGGAATAAACAAGAACAAAATGGTGGATGTTAGCATTTCTTTCGTAGAGAGGTATTGTGTACAAAAAATAATTTTATGTATATAAATAACATGATTATAAAAAGCTGTTTTTGATTGTTTCATCAGTAAATATAAGACAATTTCATGTACATCATGATTCTGTGTGAATATTTTCTCTGTTTATAGTACTATTACTTTAGAAAGAAAAAATATATATATACTACTGAAAAAGTGCAGAAATTTCATTATCATTAACTGTCATTAGCATAAAATACTTGTACTGTTGTAGCTGTAGGGTTAAGAGGTCCCCTCATAATTCACAGAGGCCCCATTGTACTAGTCAAGCTCTTCCTTTGCTCCAGTTACTTCTGTAGCTACCCAAGGGGAGTCTATACCCAGAAAAAGCCATGTTAGGATACTTATTTATGCTATCTGAGTACATGTACAAGTTTGGTTCCTCTAACTTGTGAGTGGGGATATGAACAAAGTTTCAAACATAGAACCCCCAAAATTTTGAGGGAGATTAGGAAAATAGATTCAGGTAGGTTAAGCAACCATATAAACCACATTTACACCCTATTATGTCTGGGTAACTTCCTGGGCACATTTGCCCACCCCCCTTGGTAGGGGGTTATGCCATAATAGCTACCCCCTTCCCTTCACCCTCCAGAATCCACCTGACAAGTTTAATCCTGCTTGTTCAATAACTGTGGGAAGAGATTGTGAAGAAACAAATTCACAAACACACAGAGTGAATTATCATAATGCAAAATCCACAATTTTGAGTGTTCAAACTAGTTTTTAAGATAGAAATATCTTCATATAGTACTTCATGACATATCAAAATATCTAACAATACAAGTTAAGGAGGGATTGAATGTGAGGGTTCCATGAATTTTAATGAGATACTATTTGAATATTCAATGGGTATGACAATGAACAAATGCATGTTCCTTTACTTCTGCTTCACATTATTTCAGCTTAGTGAAAGAATATATTCTGCATACTACAGCACTATAAACAAAGTGCATACTACCATTACATCATTGCTGGAAAATCTATTAGAAGCCTTGTCAAGCTTTTCTTAAAATGTCCATCATCAGTACTGTGTGAAGCTTCTAACCCAAAACTTCCTTTTAAGAAAGAACAGCTTTTGCTATTACAGATATTTACCTACAATACTCAATGATGTATATAAGGCCATAAGCATTTCCCAGTTTTTATCTGTCCTATATAGTCTGTAATTAAAATTTTTTTGATATTATTGGGAATGGCTTTTAGGCAGGATTCTAATGGTGTTACATTAGTCATTTTTGTTGTTACTTTAAGATAAAAGTAATATTTATTCATGATATGCTTATGTGTAATTATAAATTGTATTCCTTTTCTTCTTTATAATCCATTTTTTTGTATGGTGCTCTTAATAAAAAATAAAAATTATTTGATATTGATACATTATGTGTTGTGATGAGTTTATAATTTCAAAAGTTCAACATTTAGGAGTTTTCTTTTGTAACAGTATCCTTGTTACCAAAAGGAGCCTGCTTTGGACAGTTTGATGTCATTTATAATGTGAATTAACTTGCTGAGCTTATGTCATCCCTTGCTAAAGTTGTTAACATAATATTTTGGGACAACATGGGACCTGTTAGTCCATCTCGGCTATTCCATCCTCAAAACTAAATTAAAATGATTAAAAAATAATAATAAAATTTTAAACCCAACTCTTTTCATTCATATACTTATCAAGCTTTTTCTTAAACTCGCTTAAATTTACTGCCTCTACAACATCTGAAGGCAACCCATTCCAAAGGCTAACCACTCTGTTAGAAAAATAATACTGTCTTAGCTGAAGATGACTCCTACCTTGCCAAAATTTGTAATTGTATCCCCTAGTCCTACTATTCTCATTGTTAAATATAAAAAAGATGATACACCAACACTATTAGTTCCTTATAAAATCTTAAGCACCTCAATTAGATCCCCCCCCTAACTCTTCTTTTTTAAAGAGAAAACAATTTGAGAGATTTCAGCATCTCTTTGTATGACAACTCCTCCATCCCAGGCATCATTCTAGTAACCTTTCTCTGAACCCTTTCCAACAATTCAATGTCCTTCCTAAGGTAAGAAGGTCAAGACTGAACACAATATTCCAAATGTGGCTTAACCAGTGACCTGTACAATGAAATTATAACCTCTTTAGACTTGTATTCAATATTTCTATAGATACAACCTAAAACCCTATTTGCCCTACCACTAACAACTGGCTTTAGAGACTGTTCAACTATTATACCAAGATTCCTTTCCTTCATAACACTATTAATGTTATTCCCATTATACTTGTCATTCAAATTATGATAACCCACATGCATTTATTATATTT